GGCTTAAAACAGCACCAGCTTACACTCCCAATTTCAGAGGTCAGAAGTCCAGTATGGATCTCTGGCTGTAGTGTTCTGGAAGCCCCATGAGAGACTCTGTTCCCTCACATCTAGATTTGTACATCCCTTAGCACAGAGCCTCTTCATCTTCAGTGCAGCAGCCCATCCTGAACCCTTAGACTATGGCCTCATCACTCAGCATTGTCCTTTTCTGACTCTGACTCTCTTGCCTTTTATAAGGATTCTGTGATTACATAAGGCTTATTTGGATAACCCAGAATAACCCCTTTTTTGAGATTCTTAATTTAATCCTATCTTCCAAGTCCCCTTAGCCAATTGGAGAATTCAACTCATGGCCGTGGAAATCCGCCCTTGGAGCTGGGCATTGGGGTGTACCCTGTAGTCATAGAGAGCTGCTCGAGTCCAACAGTTGGCAGTCAGCTGGGACAATAGTGAGACCTCATCTCACAAAGGGGAGTCTTTTCTTCAGTAGCACTATATTTTCTTTGCATTCTTTGGCTTATTCTATTTACATAGTGTTTATGTATCTATTTATTTGTTTGTTTATTTATTGTTCAGTACTCTGATTCACTTTGTAAAAACCTCTGATAAACCCCTGGTAACTTTTCATTCTTTTCTCTACTGACTTCAAGAGCAAAGGTCAGTAAACTATAGCCCACAAGCTAAGTCCATCCGTTGTCCTACTTTGGTTTAGCATGCAAAAAAACAAAACTTCAACAAAACAAAACCGAAAAATCAGGAGGAAAAGGGTGTTTTTAGAACATGGCCCTGCTCATTCATTTTCTAGAGTACTTTTGTGTGCAATATCAGAATTGGATGATTGTGGCAGGGGTCATGATCTATAAAGCCAGGTTAGGTATCACGAAAATGTGATACTGTTCTAACAGGCATGCCCCATCTTTAAGTGTAGCACATGATCAGCAGCAGTCATTTGTTGATGAATAGTGCCTGTATTAGTCAGGGTTCTCTAAAGAAACAGAACTGATACAGTGAATACACATACATACAGGGATTTGTTAGGTTAGCTTACAGGGCAGAGTCTGAGTAGCCCAACAATGGCTGCGCCGCACTGGAGAGGCTGAGAATCCTGTAGTTGCTCAGTCCATGAGGCTGGATGTCTCAGCAGTCCCAGTCTGGTGCTGGAAGCCTGAAGGATTCCTGCTGGTTTTAAGTCTATGTTGGAATCTGAAGAAGTTGGTTCTGCTATCAGTGCAGGAATGCTACACCAGTGAGAGAGAAGACAAGCAGGCCAAAAGCAAAAGCTCCCTTCTGCCATGGCCTTTTATATGGGCCGCCATCAGAAGGTAACGTTGAGGCCAGCCTGGCCTAGTGAGTTCCAGGCCAGCTGGGGCTACAGAGAGACCCTGTCTCAAAACAAACAAACAAACAAAAAATCCTATTAATCTTTAAAACCATGGCCGGGGTGGGGGTAGAGGAATGTGCGTATGTGTGCATGTGGAGATCAGAGGACAGCTTTTGGGAGTTGGTTCTCATCTTCACCTTGTTGAGGTAGGCTCTCTCTTGTAACTGCCACTGTGCTGCATACTCTACGCTAGCTGACTGGAGAGCATCTAGCTGATTCTGTTCTTTTAGCCTCCCATCTGTCTGTAGGAGTGCTGGGATTACAGATGCATACCACCACATCTCGCTTTTTACTGGGTTCCAGGATCAAACTAGAGTCAGGCTTGTGTGACAACCGCTTTTGCCTGCTAAGCCACCTCTTTAGCCCAGAAGAATTTTTTATATTAGATGAAATATAGACTGGTGGTCTTGCCCCATGAGTTCACATGAATTAGTGAATGAGTGTCCCACCTGGGTCTTGATGTTGGCTGGAGGGATGGTTAATCTTCTGTGGCCACATGGACAGGCTCGGTTCCCAGTTGTATCAAACACTAATCTAGATACTGCTTTGAGGATATTTTATAGCTATAATCAATGTTTGCAATCAGTTGGTGGGATCAAGTCTGGGTGGGCCTGTGCGTTAGTGCAAGCCTTCACATCCCCTGAGGTTTCCCAGTGAAAAAGACGTTTTGCCCAGGCTTCCAGTCTGCTGGTCTGCCCTACAGATTTCTGATTTGCCAGTACCAGTTGTGTAAGTCAATTCTTAAAACCTATCTTGTCTTGGCTTCATTTTCTCTTGTTAAACAGATATAGATGCAGGTATTTTCCATTGGTTCTGATTTTCTAGAGACCTCTAACTGCTCCGCAAGATACTCTGATATGTGTGCCTGTGGTCCATCTTCTGTGCCTGGTACCAAGATGTAGCAGTGAAGCTAAGCCTGGTGGAGGCGAGGTCCTTCTTCACACCTCCCTCTCAGGCTTCTGCTTTTTCAGCTTGTAGAAGAAAATACGTTATATTTGGATGTTACAAAGTCAGAAATAGTCTCACTTGCAAAGGGGCAGAGGACTTTTTCTCAGTTCACAATTGTTTAAAACTGTGAGATGACTATGAGACAAGGATGGTAAAAATTAAATAAGAACTGACAGGAGCAGTTGAAAAGTGAGAGAGTTTTCCTATCTTTCCTTTGCAAACAAAAGCTTTCTGTGTATAAGGCTGTGGTAGTGGAGACCACCAGGTCCTTCGAATCCCTAAGCTTGTTCTGGGCTGCCAAGAATTTTTTTTTTTTTTTGGTCTTTTTTGAGACAGGGTCTCCCTGTAGTGTGGCTGGCCTGGAACTCACTATGTAGACCAGGCTGACGTTGAACTCACCAAGATCTGCCTGCCTCTGCCTCCTAAGTGCTGGGATTAAAAGCATGAGCCACCACACCTGGCTGGATGGCTTTTTTCTTTTTTTAATATTTTATTTATTATTTTTATTTTATGTGTATGAGGGTATTGCCTGCATGTAGGTAAGTGCACTCATGTCGTGCAATGCCCGGGAGGATAGAAGAGGCTGTAGGATCCCCTGGAACTGGAGCTACGGACAGTTGTTATGTGGGTGTGGGATTTGAACCTGGGTGTTTTACAAGAACAACCAGTGTTCTTAACTGCTGAGCCATCTCTCCAGCCCCACTGGATGGTTTCTTTTATCCTCATGCTTTGGCTCTTTGTCCAAGATATAAAACTATTTTAGATAAAAATACACATAGATGCACAAAATTTGGCAGTTTTGCTTGCAAATTACATATGTAAATACTTTTATTTCCTAGTAAATATAAAACCTGTTTAGTAAACTATTGTTTTGTGCATGAATGGTAATGCATATAAGCAGGAAAAAAAAAAACTTTGAGTAGTAGTTTTTGTGTTTTTAAATTTTGTTTTGTTTGAGACAATGTCTCCGTGTAGCTCTAGCTGGCATGGAACTTGCTGTATAGATCTGCCTGCCTCTGCCTCCCAAGTGCTGACTAAAGGTGTGCATTACCACACCCAGCTTTTGTTGTTGCTTTAAAAATATTTTATTTATTTTTATTTTATGTGTATGAGTTCATTGCCTGAACTCACATGTCATGCAGTAGCTTTTGAGGTCAAAAGAGGGCGTTGGATCCCCTGGAACTGGAGTTACAGACTGTTGTTAGCTGCCATGTTGGTACTAGGAACTTGGGTCTTCTGTAAGAGTGGCCAATACTCTTAACTGCTGAGCCATCTTTCCAGCCCTCTGTTGTTTTTATAGACAGAGTCCCTCTGTAGCTCCAGCTGAATTTTTATGTTTCTAAATAGAGTTTACCAAGATTTTAAGTAATGTGATGGTAGAAAACCTTTAAAAAATTTTTTTTTGTATTTTGATCTTCCAAACTGAATATTGTACTCTACATTTCTCCAGGAGATGGTGAAGGTGCTCTCTCCTGTTCTACAAACTCTCCTCTACCCCTTCTCTGAAACCTGATTATGTTATATCTTATGTGGGTTAATAATAATCCTTATATGTTTTACTAATTATTTGTAATTAAAAAAATTTTTTTTTTTAAATTTGAGTTTTTGTAAGTCCTGACCATTAGACACATGTGTTGTACCTCTTCTGTTAGTGTTTGATAAACCTGTAAATAAAAAGACTAGAATATAACCTGATTTCTTCTTGCTCAAATGCCATTTCATTTTAAATAGTGACGCTTTTCACTGTGATGGTTTTAATGGTTTCTTATCCCTGTTTACATTCTAACATACTTGATGGTGACTACAGTTCACTTCATCAGTAGTTCTGGAAATGATTTTTGACTGTTCCCCAGGGATCAGGGCCTGTGATGAGTTTTGGGGATATCAGGAGGTAAGAAGAGTCCTTCCCCTCAAGTTTCCCCCAGGCTCCTAGAGAGACAGACATGAAAACAGATTGTGAATGCTAGAAAGGGGACAATGGAACTACTTTGAAGGAACACAGATTGCCAGGGGAGGGAGGGATTGGCTCGGCCTTTCAGAGAGTGGGAGGACGGAGAGGGCTGTAGTCCAACTGAGCTTTGAAGGAAAATGATAAACAATTTTCATATGAACAGATTGGAGTGAGGGACTGTGTTGATGCCTGTAAGTTTTACAGATACTTGCTGCCCCAGTGTAAAGTAGCATGTGTTTAGGCTTGGTAAGAGGATGATCTCAGACTCTGGTCAGTTTTTCGATTGTTAGTCCTTTTTTTTAAGTGTGACTGAAGTGTTTAATGAATGAAAACAGTGCTACCCACTGAGATTTGTGTGTGTTCTTTCAGCTTTCTGTATGTATGGGTTTCACATTTCATGGATTCAACCAACTAGATAAAAAGTATTCAGAAAAAAATTGCCTCATGAGCAAACACTTTGGTTGTCATTATTCCCCTAACAATACTGGGTAGCAAGTATTTGCATAGCACTGATTGCATTTGCAGTTTTAAGTCATCTAGGGATGATTTGAAGTTTATAGGAAGGAATCCAGAGGATTTTGGTGTGTATGGCAGGTTCTAGAACCAACTCTCTGCCGATCCTGAGGGCCTATTGCCATTGGGGGATAATAAGATGAAAACAACCTGAGCAGTGTTGGGGTTCTATAACCGAACCTTTCTCCTTCTCTCTCCTTGAAGCTGGTTAGTCTCCTGCTGATTGGGATTGCTGCGTGGGGCATCGGCTTCGGGTTGATCTCCAGTCTCCGCGTGGTGGGTGTGGTCATCGCAGTGGGCATCTTCTTGTTCCTCATCGCATTGGTGGGGCTCATCGGAGCTGTAAAACACCATCAGGTGTTGCTATTTTTTGTATCCTTTTTTAAAAGCAGGACTTTTACTTCAAGCCGGTGGAAGTCTCACTCATGACTGATTACTGTTTCAGTGGTTGCTACTTATTTAATGTTAACATTAGGAAATGAATGGGCAGGAATCAGCTCCTAGAAGGGCTTTGTAGAAACTGTTTCAAAGCTAAAGTTGTATGTTTAGGTGTTCCCAGTCCTTCCTTGTCACATCTGAAAGTATTCTACAAGTTTGGTGCGGTCCAGACTCTCTTTGGCAAATTCAGAGTTAAACTGTATGTACTCATTCAATGACTTCTGGGCCATCTCCAACATATTAATGTTTGGCTGAGAATTTAGCAGTGTATTCTCTAGACATAGTATTAAGAAACATGCATACATACACAGACATATTATTTTATAGATTTCAAAATTTGTATTTTACTTTGAATGAAATTCTAGTAAATGTGTATTGTTTTGAAGGATTATTTCTGATTTTGTTTCTGTTTTTTTGAGATAGGGTCTCAGTATCCTGGGCTACCCAAGTACATATCATGTAGACCAGGCTGGCCTCAAACTGGGGCAGTCCTCCTGCCTCTGCTTCCTGAGTGATGGGACTGCAGGTGCTAGCCACTGTGCATGGTGTACATAATTATTTTATTATAATTATAATTATTCTGTTTTCCATTTGAATTTATAGTTGCATTATAGTTGCAGTGTATTAGTGAAATAGTGATGATGTGTATCCCCTTGAACTTTCTTTAGGTGTCATTTGTTCTGTATCTGAGTGAACTGCTTCTAGTGCATTTGAAAATTACATCATCACTCCTGCTTTATACTATTTTCAGAGTATTTGGAATGTCTTTGGGCCAGCAAGATGACTTAGCAGGTAAAGGCAATTGCTGCCAAGCCTTACCTTACTTTGATCCCTGGCACCCACACAGTGGAAAGAGAGAACTGACTCCTGCAAGTTGTCCTTTGACTTCCACATACACACCATGGCACATGGGTTCCCAGATACACATACATGCTAACAGAATGAATGAATAAATATAATAATAAAGAAGTCCTTAACTTGTAACTCTCAGTATATGATCATTCTCCTCCTTGTATTTATTGTTCAGTTTTCTGTATCTTGTGCTTGTTTAGCCCTGAATCAGGACCAACAGGTAAGCGAAGATTTTTTTTCTTCTACTTTATTATACCACGTGGCATGTGTATGAAAAAGAGTGAGAAATGACTGGAGTGTAGCGCAATTTCTTCTTGCCCAGAATGCCGTTTTACCCCAGTATCTAAATCTCTTATTCCTGAGTAAGTTAGTGGAATTGGTTGTAGCCAAAGATGCCATCAAGACCTAGCTATTTTTGTATCCTTAAACTAAGACTTAGCTCTCATTGGGTAAAAATTGCTACTGCTAAAAAACGCTTACCCAGTGTTTCCCTGCTGTTATGCACTGAGACATTGTTCCAGAGCGTCTGTGGCTCCTGTGTAGCAATTACTCTTTTCAAACTCTTAATGTGTAGAGAAAATACAGGTATCTGTCCTAAGGCAATACACTTAGAGAATTATGTTTTTGAACCAAGCACTGCTTTTTAAATTGCTTATAAAAACTAAGACTTTTTCTATTCATAGGACAGAAATATACCTTAGTTTTTGTTGCAGATTAAGAAATAAGCCTTTGAAAAAGTGCAATAATTTTTTAGAGAGTATTGATTTTTTTTGTATACTACTAAAAACTGTAGGTTCTAGCTGTCTACATTTTTTTTTTTTTATTTTTTCAAAACAGGGTCTCCCTGTAGCCTCAATTGGCTTGAAACGCATTATGTAGACCAGGCTGGCCTTGACGTCACAGAGATCCACCTGTCTCTGCCTCCCAAGTGCTGGGACTACAGGGGTGCGCCACCATGCCCAGCTCTAGCTGTCTGCATTTTATGCAGGGATGATATGTTGTAATATATACATGAACTGCATTTTATAGGGTCAGCTTCTGGAGGTTGGTTGGAACAACACAGCAAGTGCTCGAAATGACATCCAGAGAAATTTGAACTGCTGTGGGTTTCGAAGTTTTAATCCAAATGACACCTGTCTGGCTGTAAGTCCAAAGTATAAAGGTTTTATTTTTTCCCCTTGTATCACATACTGATTAATGATTAACGGGTAAGAAATGGACTTTCTGATGATGAATTATATTTTGAAATTATTTTACATATGCCTTTGCTGGTTCCAGTGTCCAGTAAGATATACAGCTTTTATTTTCTTGCCTTTAATTCTTTCTCATTTGACTCTTTCCTCAAACAAGTTGTAAAAGAGAAGATAGATAGGTCTTAGAGAGATCTTTTTTTTTTTTTCAGCAAAGCAGGGAAGTAGCAGGAGAAGGGTGTAGTATAGTCAATTGATTCTTTTTAAAAATTAAAAAAATTATTTTTATTTCATATGTAATGAGTACATTGCCTGCATGTATGTAAGTGCACCTGTATTGTGCAATGCCCACGGAGGTCAGAAGAGGGTGTCGGATCCCTTGGAACTGGATGGTTGTTAGCCAACATGTGGGTGCTAGGAGTTGAACCCAGGTCCTCTGCAAGAGCAGTTAGTGCTCTTAATTGCTGAGCCATCTCTCCACCCCGTAAATTGATTCTCTTAACTAGCCAAACACCTCCAAGGTAGAGGACATGTAGAACCATCTCCTCTCTTTCCCTTCTTCCCTGTAACAATTTTTTACCCATTCTCTTTGGAACTGAGCTACTGATGGACCAATGGGATCTGTGTTCATGTCTCACATGAGACTCGACCTCTAGTCTTACATGTGGAAGAGCTCAGGGCATGACTCTTCCAGAAAGTTTGCATGTGGTTGTGTTTTGAGACACTCCTTACCACCTCTCTGAACCCCATGTTGAATATGTCTTCAGTGAGGCCTCTTTTGTGACATTATTTCTTTGTAGGAGCCTGTATTAATTTTCTATTTCTGTATAACTCATTTGCGCAAATTTCATGGTCTAAAATGATATTTATTTATTCTCATTCAGTTTCCATGGGCGTCTTCGTGTGCTTAGCTGAGTCCTCTGTTTAGGTGTCTTCCTTTTTTTTCTTTCTGTTGTAATAAAATCCCTGACAAAAGCAACTTAAGGGAGAAAGGGTTCATTTTGACTCACAGGTCCAGGGTACAGTCCATCGTGGCAGGGGAGTCACAGCAGCAGGAGCCTGAAGGAGCTGCTCACATGCTCCATAGTCAGATGAAGAACGCAACAGATGCATGCGTGCTAGTGCTCAGTTCACTTTTTCCCCTCTTCTGTAGTCCAGGATCACCTGCCTAGGGAATGGTTTGGCCCATAATCAAGATGGATGTTCCTACATCAATGAACATAATCAAGACAGTCTCTTACAGACATCCTCAGAGGCCTATCTCCTGATTCTATGTTTTGTCAAGTAGCCAATTAACATTAACCATCACATCAGATTTCTCTGAGGCTGAAATTCATGTGAGGAGTGGTGTTCTTGTCGCTCACTCAGTGGTTGTAGAATTTGGTTTCTTATAGTTGTAGGATTACAACCTTGCCTGGTGGCTGTCAGCTGGGAATCTCAGTCACAATACAACAGCATCAAAATCAGCATGAGAGTCTCTTTGTTCTAATAGTATAGTTAGAGTGCAGCCTGGATATGAGAATGGTTAAACCATCATATTCAGAGGTCTTCACCCTCAGGGTCATGACCCTACAGCATATGCACAGGGGGTGGCCATCTTGGAAATTTGCATGCATCTAAAAAATCCATGGAAAACTGAAATAATACCCCAGACTTGAATTTTGTCTGTGTGTAGTTTTTATGGGCTTTTGTAACAGTACTCTGAAATAACGAGTCTTTTCTTTAATTCATACAGAGCTGTATTAAAAGTAGCCAACAGTGCCCACCTTGTGCCCCAATAATTGGAGAGTATGCTGGAGAGGTTTTGAGATTTGTGGGTGGCATTGGCCTGTTCTTCAGTTTCACAGAGGTATGTCTTTCCCCCTTTGTCACAGGAAATCTTGCTTTGTATGGCAAGAGGACAGGACCTTGTATTTTGGTATAACAATTTTTCAAAAGCATCATTCAGTACATGTTTTCCATGTGAACTCACAGGAAGACAGTGGACCCAGGCTTGGAATCTAGCATTAACTTTATGATGGGGTGATGGGGTGACATGTTTGATCTGTTTGGTACTATGTAAAGTGTGGTGTGCACGCCTGTACTCTCAGCACTTGGGAGGCAGAGGCAGGTGGATCTCTGTGAGTTCCAGGTCAACTGGGGCTACAGGTTTCAAAAAGACCAAAAAAAAAAAAAAAAAAAAAAAAAAA